AGGGAATTTAGAAAGTCTTTTAACTGAATGAAAATAAGAGTATAAGGTATCAAATTTTATGGAATGCTGCTAAAGCAGTTCTTAGAGGGAAATTTATAGCATTAAATTTTTATATTAGAAACTTCCACTTCTGGTCAAGATGAAGTTAAAAAGTAGGGACTATATATTTACCTTCCTGCATAATACACAAAAACAAAAAGACTGAACAGAATGCATGAAACGATGCCTCTCAAGACATTGTAAATCAAGATGAGCCCTGCAATTGTCCTAGATTAACCTCCTGAGAAAGTTCCCAGATTATGGCATAAGGACATGGGAAACTCAAGCAGAGTTTAGCAGATTCCCTGAGTTCAGGAAGTGGAGCTGACAGGAGAGAACAGGTGGTTGGAGTTTGCAAAGCAGAATATCAGAAATGAAAGAGCTGCACACAGAATTCCAGAGATGTGCAAAGGGTTCCCCTCATGTATTCAGCAGAGTACTAATAAGTGTATGTATGTGGGGAAACTGTCCAATCTGGGGAAAGGGATGACTGAATGGGCAAGGGAATAGAATTGATAATTTACATAGGGATGGGAATAGTACCTCTTCTAACCAACCAAATTGAAAATGCTCATAGTGATTCATGGGGCATTGGGTAGAGTGCTCTAAAAGTCTTGCCTCAGTACTAAGGAATAAATATCACCAGACTGTCTAACAAATCTTAAAAACAAGACCCAGAAGGATCCAAATGTTTCCCAGTAACTTAATTAAATCTCAGAACAAAATTCAAGAGTACTTATAAAAACTATTCAGCACTCAACTCACAATTTCTGTCACCTGATCAAATATATCATGCATTGGGAGAAAGCAAAGGGGAAAAAAGAGGGGGGGAGGCAAACCAAGAAACAGACACTTAATCACAGAGAACACACTGATGGTTACCCGAGGGCAGGTGGTGGGGCGATAGGTGAAATAGGTGATGGGGATTAAGGAGTGCACTTGTCATGAAGAGCACCAGGTGATATATGGAAGTGTTGAAGAGCTATATCGTACACCTGAAGCTAATATTACACTGTATGTTAACTAACTGGAATTTAAATTAAAACTTTAAAAAAATCATACCACACACACACAACAAAGACTACAAAACATTACTGAGTGAAATAAAAGACTTAAATGGAGAGATTGGTTCATGGGTGAGAAGATTCTCTACAGTTAAGATGTCTATACTTGAGAAATTCAGCACACATCATAACAATCCCAGTGGGCAGCCATTATTCATGTCATTGTTCTCATATATACAATAGAAATTGAGAAGCTGATTCTAAAAGTCATATGGAAATTCAAGATAGAACAAAAAAATTACAGATACCTAAAAATAAATGCCACTAAAAGTGTATAAGATCTTGGTTGAGATAAAAATAAAATATTATCAAAAATATTAATAAAGATGTGAATACATAGCTAGCTATATCATGTTCATGGATTAGAATACAGAATATTAAAAGCTTTTCAGTTCTTCTCAGATTTATCTATAGATTTGATGCAATTCTAATCAAAATTGCAATGTTACTTTGTGGAGCTCAATATACTGATTCTAAAATATATATGAAAGAGTAAAGAGCTGAGGGTTGGAAGGGGATGGAGTAGCAAAGTATTCTATCATGTATCAAACTTTATTATAAAGCTATAGTAATTAAGACATAAAATATTTAAAGGAGCTTTTTTCATTTAGTTCCATATCTCACCAACTTTTGGTGTGTTCAATCTTACTATCTGAACTCTTTTAGAGGGTATGCACTAGCTTTCTTATGTTTCATGCTTATATGGTGTATGGTTGTATTTGATCCTTTTACTATCAACCTATCTGTGGCTTTATATTTCTTATAAACTGCAGTCTTGCTTCTTCTCCACTGTGACAACATGTGCCTTAAAGTTCTAGTATTCAGTCCACTTAGATTTAACGTAACTATTGCTATAGTTGGAGTTAGGGCCATCTTGGTATTTGTTTTCTATCAACCGCACTTGTTCTTTTGTTTCTCTTTTCTTGTCTTCTGAGTGAATCATGTATTTTTCAGTATCTCTGTGTTTTCTACTGTGTTGATTCTTTTTTATTCAAAACTGTTTTTTAGTGGTTGCACTTGGCTATACAATAATCATCTTTAATTTATCAGAGTAATTCCAAATATATACTTCACAACAGTGTTAAGAAACTTATAACTATATGATTTCATTCATACCCCACCCACCCTTTGTACTCTTATCTCATATCTTACTCCTAAATATGCTATAAATCTCAATGCATTGTTAATATTTTTGCTTTAAAAAGTCAGTTGTCATATGCGGCACCTGGGTGGTGCAGTCAATTAAATGTTAGAATCTTGGTTTTGGTTCATAATGTCAGGGCCATGAGATCAAGCCCCAAGTCGGGCTCCCCACTCAACCTGGAGTCTGCTTGAGATTCTCTCTCCCTCTTCCCCTACCCCTCCTGCTTGTGCTCTCTCTCTCTCTCTCAAATAAATAAATAAATCTTTAAAAATGTCAATTGTCATAAAGATATATAGGTATATAAATATCAACTGATAATAAAATTTTATCAGTTGATATTTATACATATATATCTATATAGATATATATGTATATATATCTATATAGATATATATGTATATATATACATATATATATATCCTCCTGGGTATGCTTTATTTCTGTTTGCATATGCAGAGTTCTTCCTGAACTCATTTCCATTCAGCCTGAAGAATGTCTTTGAATTTTCTTGTATAATAAGTTTTCTCAGCATTTGTCTGTATAAAAGTGTCTTTATTTTTTCCCTTCATTTTTGAAGGATATTTTTCACTGAATACAGAATTATAGGATGACAGCTGGTTTTTGTTGTTTTTAAAGTAATTTATAAAAACATCATTCCATTATCTTATGGCCTCTTACCATTTTGGGTAAGAAGTCAGCTATTATTCATGCTGTTGTTCTCATATATACAATGTATCTTTTTATCTGTAGCTGCTTTCAGAATTTGCTCTTTCTCTTTGGTTTTCAGCACTTTTATTATGTGATTAGGTGTGATTTCCTTGTATGTATCCTGTTTGTGGTTCAAGGGAGCTTCTTGGATTTCTGGGATAATGTCATTCATTAATTTAGGGGTGTTCTTGGACATTGTCTCTTCAAATATTTCTTCTGCACCATTCTGTTTTTCCTTTCCTTCTAGGAGTTTAAAAACACATATATGATACTGTTTAATATTGTCCCACAGATCTCAATCTATTTATTCTTTTTTTACCCTACTTCTTTCTTTGTATTTCAGTTTGTGTATTAAACCGTCTTCAAGTTATCTACTTGGCTTTTCCCACTTTACTCTTGAATCCATCGAATAATTTTTTTATTCCTGATATCATATTTTTTATATCTAGCAATTTCACTTCTTTTTTTATCATTTACATATCTCAGCTGAAATTCCCCATGTCTGCCCTCATGTTGCCCATCTTTTCCACTAGGTCCTTCAGCATTTTTATGAGTTTTTTTCTCTTTAGCCATGCTTGGGTTCTTAGCACTGACAAGATTCCAGAGATCTCTTCATACTTTACAACTGGCCACCACCTTTCAAAACCCAGGAGAGCTGTCTCTGCTCTACAGTCTAGCCCGCCAACTTTTTGATCACTGAGGGATTCCTTCCTCTCTCATCTTGCTGCAGGTTTTCATGCTTTGGGAGATCTCTCTATCTATCTCTCTTGCTTCCCTGTCCCACGTCTGTAAAGGCCAACCATGTGTCGGAGGGAGAGTTTCCCTCAGCCAGCTTACCCACTCCCAGCCTATGGTAGCTGAGAATCCAGAATGCAGATGGATTTCTCTCAACTTTGCTGCCTTGATGCCTGCCCCCTCCTTGTCTTCAGAGGATTACTGCTTTATATTTGGGAGAGGCCTGAATGCCTCAGGGGGATCTATCAGCACCCCTGCCTTGTCCCAAAACCTTTTGGCTTCACTTCACTAAGTGAAGATCTATGGGAAAGTTTGTGGTGGGTAAAAACTCATTCCTTGGAATTCCCATCTGTAATATTTATGATGGATTCCCATCCCTCTGCCAAGAATAAAAATAATTATGGGTCTTTTCTATGAAGGGCTCATCATTTTGTTACTAATATATTTCAAGGATCATCTCACACTCATTTAAAGCAACATAAGCTCTAGACTTTAAATTGAATCTTCATTTGATAAAATGGCTTTTTACTGAAATGACTCTTTACCAAATAGTCTGTTTCTTTGGTTACCAGTTTGATATGTCTACATCCTGTTTGAGTATATCCATTACTAAATATGTGTACATTACATAAACTTAGGGAGGAAAGATGTGCCCAAGAGACTCCTTTTGGTCATCATGAACATAGAAGTTACATGTTAGGTAAAAATCTCTAAGAATTAGAAACAGTTGGGAAGGAGAGATAGGGAAGAAGGGGGACCTTGGAACTCTAAATGAAATTAGGCCCACTGAATTTCAGACATAGCAGTCTCTCAGTGGCCTTCCTCTCTAACAGCCTGTGTTCATAAAAGGGTGGTATTGATTTGTCTAAGGTTTTCAGTTCTGTCTTCTCTTTATCTCATATCCAAGGAAACTATAATTCCAAAAATAACAATGTTTAAAGTGTCTTTATATCTTGATAGTAATGAACATGGAAGGGGCTTGTGGCCAGAGTGGATAAATACATAAGAAAAGAGAAGGCTGATATTCTCTGAGGGTCAATTTAAAAGGGAATTAAGATGAATTATTTCTACAGATAGAAACAATATATCAAAGAATAAAATTACTGAAATAATTTATATTTATGAATACATATATTTCTATGTAATATATTTCAATGTCTGGAGTATTATTCAGAAATACACTAAAAGTTAGTAGTTAAAGTTAAAATGTAGTAGTTACTACATTTTAAATATAGCAAATTAGAAGACCAGAATTGTTAGGAATGTCCCTAAAACCAAAGATCTTCTAATTATTTTCTATTTTGTTATAGGCTAAAAGAAGAAGTAGCATGGCAATCTGGACAGAAAATGAAGTTTATCTCGGATATACTTTTCTTAAATTTGTCAAAATAATAACTACTGAAAAACTGAAAAATCTTCTAAATATATCATCAGCTGCTACACTGACTATACACAATGTCGAGTATCCAGGACACCCTTTGGAACTTGCCTTATTATTAAATTACTGCACTGCATGTAACATCAACAAAACAATTTATGTGGTAATATACAATGAAGATACAGAACAGTGGGTGTACCAAGACTTTGCATTAGATGTCTCTACTGACAGTTTTTTAACCCCACATTTTATATATGCAGCACTGCCAGATTTAATACTGCGGGACAAACATCGGATCTACTATTGTTATCACAATTTCACCGAGACTGGAGTTTTACAAACACCTACAGAATTTGGAAATCTATCAAGATTATCACATAACAGCATTATTCATGATATTTTCATAGGTGAGACATTCTCATTCTGCAAAAATTATTCTAATTTTTATAGTAGACATCTTCCTTATGAAGATGTAACAATTATAAATACACTCATATATGATACTTTTGGTAAGTAAAAGTGCACTTTTTACCACCTAAAAATGGATATCTTTTTAAGTTCTACTAAGGTTATCTCACATAGCGAAATGGCAAACTCAAAATAGATTCATTTTGGTCATTCAGCAGATACTAACTAAACAACCTACGCATGCATTTTCAGCATAGGAGGTGATATGGTGTTGTCTTCATTTCCTAGGGCTCCCTAGGGCTACCACAAACTGGGTAGCTTAAAACAATAGAAATTTATTGTCTCAGTTTTAGAGAGGAGAAGTCCCCATTCAAGGTGTCAGTAATGCCATGTTCCTTCCGAAACCCAAAGGGGGGCTCTCTCATTGCTTCTTCCTAGCTTCTGGTGGCTTGCTGGCAAACCTTGCCATTCCTTGGCTTGCAGCTGCATCATTCCAACCTCTGCCTTCATCACGACATAGCATTCTCCCTGTGTCCTCACATGCTATCTTGTTGCAAGGACACAGGGCCCAACCTACTCCAGTGGGACCTCATCTTAACTAATTACCTCTGTAATGATCCTATTTCCAAATAAGGTCACATTCTGAAGTAATACTGGGAATTCGAATGTCAACATCGTTCCCGAAGGGACAAAATTCAACCTATAGCAGGTGTTGTAGAGTTGAATGGACCCGTATTCCTATCCATGAGCAAGTCATTGAACGTTTGCAAGTCTCATTTTCTAATCCAGAATATAGGGTGGTTGTGTTGATTGGATAAGGGATTGTAAGTAAAATGTTTAGAATAAAACTGGACATGTGGTAACAATAATTATTCTGAATCTTATTATTCCCAAGGTAGTATACTAAATAAACATTATAGGCAATGCAAAGAAATAGGAAGTTCAATCCTCAAAAAGTGTGTTTAGGAGATAGCCCTAACCATGGAATTTAAAGGAAATGTCTCTGTAATTCTTTCTTTCTTTTAAAAGACTTTATTTATTTGTTATTAATTAGAGAGAGTGTGAGCAGGGGGAGGAGCAGAGGGAGAGTGACAAGCAGACTCCACACTGAGCCCAGAGCCCGACTCGGGGCTCAATCCCACAACTCTGAGATCATGACCTGAGCTGAAATCAGATGAGTCAGATGAGCTGAGTCAGATGCTTATCCAACTGAGCCACCCAGGCACCCCTTGTCTTTCTTAACGCCTATCACCTGGCAACTTTCAACCAGTTGATTTTTATGCTCCCCTTTACAACAAAACTCTAAAAAATATTGCCTAGTTTCACTTCTTCATCTTTCCTCACTTTATCTTGAAGCCACTCTAATCAAATACTCCATGGGAAGTGCTCTTGTCAAGGTTCTTAACAACCTCCACTTTGCTAACCCAGTGACCAATTTTCAGCCATCCTCCATGAGCTGGCATTCAGCAGGGCCTGATTCCTTTTTTTTTTCCCAAAGATTTTATTTATTTGACAGAGAGGGAGAGAGCACAAGCAGGGGGAGCAGCAGGCAGAGAAAGAGGGAGAAACAGGTTCCCCACTGAGCAGGGAGCCTGATGTGGGGCTCAATCCCAGGACCCTGGGATCATGACCTGAGCCAAAGGCAGACACTTAACTGACTGAGCCACCCAGGTGCCCCTAGCAGGGCCTGATTCTTGAAATAACTTTTTGTCACCTGACTTCTGAGGTGTCACTTTTTTGCCCTTCCTGCTACTTCACTAGCTACTCCTCCTCAGCCTCTTTTCCTGATCCCTCATCTTCCTGATTCCCAAATGGAGAAGCACCTCAGGGTCTAGTTTTCAGACATCTTCTGGAGCTCTGTTTCCATGCGCTGTGCCCTCCGGCCATAACTCCTAGCCTGACTCCAAGCTCCTATTCCCAACTGCCTCTGGGATACCTTCACTTGGATGACGAGTAGGCATCTCAGATTTAACATCCAAGAATGAATCCCTGAGTCTCACTCCTATCTCAACCTGCTCCTGCCTAGTCCTTTCCTATCAAGTAAATACCACCTCCTCCAGTCTTTCCAGCTACAAAAACCTTGACCTCATCCTCGAGTCCTTCCCTTTCACATCCCACAACTAATCCCTGGGCAGCTCCCCTTGGCTTTATCTAAAAAGTCTACCTAAAAGCCAACCCCCTTCCACCAGTCCCACTCCATTCCAAGCCAGTGTCCTCTCCAGCCTATACATGCAAGAACCTTTTACATGCTCTCCCTGCCTCCACCCTTCCAACCCAAGCCCCACCATTAGAGTCCACCTAGCAGCTAACGTAAGCCTTTGAAAACATGCAAAATCACATTATTCCTCAGCTTAAAACCCTCATTCGGCTTTCTATATCACTTTGGATTTGGATAAAATCCAACACCCTTACTATGGCCTGAAAAGCAGTATGTGGTGTGACTCCAGACTCTGATGTCCTCTCCTGTCACTTAACCCTCTGTTCGCTGTTACCTCGTTGCAAACTAGGCTCTTTGCTGTTCCTTGGATAGCTACTGTTTCATATGCCAGATAATTCTTCACTTTGATGTCTGCATGACTCTTACATTTAATTCAGGTTTGAGTCCGAATGCCACCTGATCGGGGAGCTCTTCCCTGACCCTGCCCTAGCTCCCGTGCTCTGGCCCTTATACTTCATTTTGTTCACAGAGCTTCTCATTACCTAACAAACTACATGTGTGCTTATTCTAAATTAACTGAATCTTCCATGAAAAAACAAGCTCTGTGTGACTTTGTTATATTTGCTGCTTTGCCCACAGTGTCTAAAATAATATATAATAGGTCCTTTTTTGAATAAATGGATGAACAAATATTCATTGAACATGCACTATTGGTGAAGCGCTCTGCTGGGAGGTGGAGATAGCGTAGAAATTGGCCACAATTCTCACCCTTTCTTCTTCTTTTTTTTTTTTAAGATTGATTGATTGATTTGAGACAGAGAGTGTATTTGTATGAGGGCAGGGGGAAGGGCAGAAAGAATCTTAAGCAGACTCTATACTGAGCACAGAGCCCCACACAGGGCTCACAACCCTGAGATCACAACCCGAGCCAAAACCAAGATTCAGATGCTTAACCAACTGAGCCACCCAGAAGCCCCAGAATTCCCACCCTTTCAGAGTTTACAAAATTGCAGAGGGTAAAGACAAACACACAATAAAGCAACATGGCTAATGCTATGACAGAGCCAACCTCAGGTGCTAGAGAGGCACACAGATCGAGTACCTTACCCATTCTAGGGGAGAGGAAGGTACAGAAGGCTTCCTTGAAGAAGTGCTGTCTAAGCTGAGTCCTGCTGAATGGGTAGAGGTTAGTTAGGCAGTGAAGACAACAGTGGGGATGGGGTGCCCAACAACCCAGACACAGAGACAACAGGGTACAATCCAGGCCTTGAAAGATAATCCACTGCTGAAACAGAGTTCTCCAGAGAGAAGAAGGAGAAATCTCTCCTGGAGAAATCAAGTTCAGGTTATGAGAGTCCTCATAAGTCATGTGAAGAAATCAGACCTTCTTCTAAGGCCCATATAGGGTTTTAAAGAGTTTTGAGCAAAAGAGAAGCAGAATCATATTTGTGTTTTTAAAAGGCCACTGTCCACAGTGATAAGGAGATAAAGTTAGAATAATCAACAGGGGATAAATTTTAGAGGGACCTAAAAGGCTGAATGTTTTACCAAGAGCCATTTGGAAATGCTGAGATAAAAAGTCTAAACTGTCCATAAGCATATGAAAGATGAATTTAAAAGACTTCAGCCTGCAGCATTTCCATTTCTCAAATAACCCACTATTTAAAAGTTGCCGTGAGGGTGCCTGGCTGGCTCAGTTGATGGAGCATGAGACTCTTGATCTTGGGGCCATGAGTTCAAGCCCCACACTGGGTGTAGATGGGTGTCTTTAGTCAATTTTAGAAGTTTGTGTTTCCTTAGGAAATCACTCATTTTATCTGGATTTTCTAATAAACCTTATTGGCAAAGGTTTCCCATTTTAATTTTTAGACTGCTTATCATCTGTAATAGTATTCCCTTTCTCATTTATGATGTTGTCTGTACCCCACCCCTTATTACTTTGACTTGCAAAATATTGTTTCTTATTCTTATGGTTTTTTGGTTTTGTTTTCTTTTCCTTTGAAAGGAACTCTTGGCTTGTTTATCAAATCTTCTTTCTATATAATTCCTTAATTTCTGCTTTTGTCATTCTTGATTCTTCACTTGTGCTTTCTTTTTATAACTTTGGTATCTGTTGCCTGCTTCTTATGGTAAATGATTAGTTCATTTATTTTCAGTCTTGTTTTCTAAGCACTTAAAACTACAAATAAACATAGGGCTATACATTTTTCTCACTGTGGCTTTAGCTGCATCCACAAACCTTTATATATAGTGTTTTTAATCTCATTTGCAAATAATTCCTAATTTTCATCTTAACTTCACATTTAATCCAAAGTTTATTTTGTAATGTTTTAATGAGCGGGGTGCCTGGGTGGCTCTGTTGGTTAAGCATCCAACTCTTGATTTCAGCTCAGGTAATGATACCAGGCCTGGGATCCAGCCCCACATCAGGCTCTCTGCTCAATGGGAGTCTGCTTGTCTCCCTCTCTCTGTGCCCTTCACCTCCTTGTGCTCTCTCTCTGTGCTGCCCAAAGTGCCTCAACATCCCGAGTCACCGACATGTTAGTGCTGGTGTTTGATGCCCCATGTGTGTTGCCTCAGCAGGAAGGGCATCTTGCCCTTGCAGTTATACTAAAACACTCCGAAAAATATTCCGAGCTGCATATTAACCTTACCGATCAACATAACAATTTCACCAGCATTATCATATGGTTGAATTCCTACTGACAACATTATCACTACATGAGAACTTAAGGTTATAAGGACATGTATGTGGACAGTGATGTCTCATTAAAGTATTCTGATTCTAACAACAATTGACATTGCTGATTTAGGAGTTTTACAGTAATTTGTGAAAATGCCACTTATTTATTCAAATTTCAAATGTAAGATGCATAAGCACAATACACTCTGAACCTTCCTCACTCTATGAATTGAACTTCCTCCTTTTAGTCAGTCCCCTTAAAGTGTTGTTGTTGTTTTTGTTGTTGTTTTAAATTAGGGAAAGTATATCCCTAGAACTTATCCACGGAGAATGTCATGTCTGGAAAAAAGCTATGAAATCAACTAGTCCAACTGTTCATTTTACAGTTACAGTTACTTCCAAAGAATTTGAGACTTATTGTCTGTAAACCTCTGTGACTTAGACATAATACTCTGTTAAGGGAAGGAAGTTGGTTATTATTTATAGAGTGAACCTGAAGACATAACAACACACACACACACACACACACACACACACCCATTTCTTTATCCCAATTGTATTGCTCTACTATAACTACCATAACAAGATGTCATGGGCTGCATGGCTTAAACAAAAGAAATGTATGTTCTCACAGTTCCGCAGCCTAGAAGTCCAAGATCAAGGTGATACCAAGGTTGGTTTCTGGCGAGGACCCTCTTCCTAGCTTGGAGATACGGGCCCCTTCTTACTGTGTCCTCACATGGCCTTTCCCCCACCTGCATGCACAGAGAGATCTTATGTCTTCCTCCTCTTACAAGAATACCAGTCATATTGGACTAGGACCCTTATGACCTAGTTTAGCCTTCATTACCTCCCAAAAGACATTATCACCAAATACAGTCACAATGCAAGCTGGGGTTTCAACCTATCCATTTTTGCGGGGGGGACACAATTCCATCCATAGCACAATGCTTCCTAATAATACTATTCCTGCATGTCTATGCTCATTATTATTTAGTGCACTAATTCCAGCTTTTTATGTAAGTGGTGTCATATATAAAGTGATGTCGTAAGTACAAGAAGAATCTATCCAGGAAAAGAATTGTTCTACTACAAAGTGGGAGAGAAGCTCTCCAGCATCACATAAAAGTTGCAGGTTTGTGTCTGCACACTCTAATTTTCTCAAAACAGATAAATCCTTCATTACTACAAAAGAAATTATTTTGGTTAAAAGTGCATGGATTTATGGTTACTTAGAATAACACAAGCTTTTCTCCTTCTTTTCCAGATTATTATGGAAATGTTGTGGTAAAAATGGAAAATAACATAATGTTTTATTTCAAGATCAATATTAGAGCTGCAATAAAACTACATTTATGGACAAATAGCACAATGAAGTCATTAATTTTATTGAGTTCATCTGCTCAAATATATCTCATATATGTTTTTGAAAATGGCACAGTACAGCCACGGGAATATCCTTTAAAACTGGAATCACAAAGTGTACATTTCACTACAAAAGAAAAATGCCCCTACATGGCATTTCATAATAATATTTTAAGTGTTTTTTACTTTTTGGACAAGGGACAGAACCTGTCCATTTGGGCTCAAATAGTCTATCCAGAAAATGTTGGTCTGTATATTGTTGTGGAATCATACGGCCCAAATATATTACAAGAGAAAGAACAGGTTCACTATGAAATCGCCCTAGGATACTGCACTAAAACCATGGTAAGTTAATATTTTAAAATTTATTCATTTGATTGTAATAAATGTAAAATTAAAATATTTACATTTTTTTATCCTGTCACGAAAAATATAGTATCTAACATCATTGGTGACATTCAATGAAGTTTTCTGATAACAAACATTTATCCTTAATTTTACGTCATCTTGACTCTTGTTGCAGTAATTTCTGTTAGCTGATTGTGGTAAAAAATGTTTAATTTGAAAAGAAATTGAAACTTTCTTCATCTGTTATAAATATATATATATACATATATTTATAAACATTTAAAACAGATTTTCCTTCTAGGTTTAGCTTAGAAAATGTTGAGAAATATACAAGTTTTTAATAAATAGTAATATGATAAGCCATTAGCTCCTGAGCCACAATTTTCACTTTCAATATCCAAGGCAAATATCTTTGCCGCCTAAAAGCACTTTCCTGCAGAACTCTTTGATGTCAATTGTATTATTTGCTTCCTTTTTTTTTTTAAACACATGGCTTTGTGTAGACTTCTCTCTGCTATCTTTTGTACTATATAACACCACCCCAAAACCTGACAGCTTCAAACAGCACCCAGTTTTATTTGTCAACAATTTGGGTTGTGAGCAGCTGGGCGATAGTGCTGGTTTCATCTGTCTGCGTTCATTCATGAGGTGGTCATCTGGTAGCTTGTCTGGGACAAGGTGATCTAAGATGGCCTCAACCACACATCAAGTGGTTGGTGCATGCACTGGCTTGTGTGAATAAGGGGCCTCAGCTGAGCACTTGTCTCTGATCCATGTGGCCTCTATCATCCAGGCCAGAGCTGGCTTTCTCCCAAGAGAGTCTCTGGGCAGTATTCTAACACAGTACGAGCAGATCCCAGAAGGCCTCTTGAGGCCTATGTTTGGCCACATTCTCTTTGTCAAAGCAATTCACAAGGACAGCCTAGGTTAACAGGATGGAGAAATAGAGTCTACCTCTTGACGGAAAAACAGCAAACTTACCCTATAAAGGGGGGTGCCTACAGGAATGGGAGGGATTACTGCAGCTAACTTTGCAGACGATCCAGCACAATTAGGTACAAATGTACTGTATATATTATTTTGTAGACTACTTTCCAATGAACATTATAGCATAACCATTTTACATCTACTACAATTCCTTCCCAAACACTGTATATTCTATTTCCCACCTTCTCTTTCTGGGCTCAGATTTCTTTAGCATATACAGTAGTGGGCATCTTAACAGATGCGATGGAATGAAATGTTCAGTTAATTCCAAAATCAGTTAAAACAGAGAATCATAAAAAATGAAACTGATATGAATGAAACATTGTACTTTAACTTAAATAAATGGATGTGCATTCATTAATCAACCTTTTAAAATAGGCCTACAGACTTTTCTTTGAAATAAGTCAACTTACTGGAGCATCTCCTCTCCTTTCTTGCATAACCTTATTCATAATGCATTATCTCTGAGTTCCCACTTCTGTTTCTTTAAAGCGGGGGGTGCCTGGGTGGCTCAGCTGGTTAAGCCTCTGATCTCGGGGTCCTGGGATCAAGCCCTTTGTCAGGCTCCCTGCTCAGCGGGGAGTCTGCTTCTCCCTCTCCCTCTGCCTCTCCTCCCATTCTCGCTCATGTTCTCTTTCTCTCTCAAATAAATAAAATCTTTTAAAAATAGAGGAGGGAAAAAAATTAATGACACTGGCAAAGCCATCAGAGTTCTAGATTTTTTCATTTTGTCCAACTTCTTACTGTTATCTTGCTCATACCTAATTCAGCAATTTCTTCAGGGACTTGTTTTATTAAAACTTTCCAGAGCAATCCATTTTGTTCTCAGGGAAACAATAACTCTACTTTCCTTTTACACTCAATTTCATCAGTCCATAATGTTTAATTCCACAACTACCATAATACCACAATCTGGCATAAACAGGTTTAGAAACACAGAGAGCTGATTTAGATTTGCATACAGACATATGGATAAATCTTAAAACAGTGTCGAGTGGAAAATAGTGTCAAGGAAGGAACTGAGATCCATCACAGAGTAACGTTTACAAAAATTGCAAACACCTACACGTAAATCACAAGGAACAAAAAGAAAAGCGTTACTCATTTTACACGGATACCAAGATCCCAAGGACAGATATCAGATCAAATATATCATATGTCATCAAATATGATGACATCATGCTTGTTTGATATATGTTATGGGGGCCTGCACATAGGGGGAAGAGGAAGAGGGGAAGGGAATGGGGGAAGAAGATACAGGGGAAAAGTAAAACATAATAAATTAAATAAAATAAGACTGGATTGATCATGTTTCAAGAAACAAGGTGTATGTGTAACTCACTTTTCTGAAACTGAGGTACCCCCTTCCTTCCAGAACAAGAACAGAAAAGATTTACACTCTCCTTCAGCCCAGGAAAGTTTTCTTTGATTATCTAGCTGCAATATCTGCATAAGCTCTCATAAGTTTTCTTTCCAAGAATGGGCTGCATAATGTACATTTGCCCATTTGCAATTCAGAACTTCAAAATATAGTTACCAATCAAAATATACAAATGACCAAGGACAAAGAAACATTAAAATTTGCATGTTTTGATAAAATACTGTCTCTGTCATTTATCAGCTGATAACATTAAGCAAGTTTTTTAAAATTTGATTCCATAAAAATCTTACTTTATTAAGATTGCTTTTACATCTAATTTTTTATTAAGTTATTTTAATTACAGTACAGTTAACATATAGTGTTGTGTTAGTTTCAGGTGTACCAATATAGTGATTCAACAATTCTATACATCACCCAGTGCTCAATATGACAAGTGTACTCCTTAATCCCCACCACCTGTTTCTCCCAGCCCCCAGCCTCCTCCTCTTTGGTAACTATCAGTGTGTTCTCTAGAGTTCAGAGTCTGTTTTTTGGTTTGTCTCTTTCTCTTTTTTTTCACTTTGCTCATTTGTTTTATTTCTTAAATTCCACACATGAGTGAAATCATATAATATTTGTCTTTCTCTGACTCATTTCATTTAGCATTATACTCTCTAGTTCCAAAAATGTCATTGCACATGGCAAAATTTCATTCTTTTTAATAGCTGGATAATATTCCATATATATGGTATATATTCCATATATACACCATTTTGTAAATAATGCTGCTATGAACATAGGGGTGCATGTATCACACCTGTCAGAATGGCCAGAATCAAAAACACAAGCAACAATAGGTGTTGGTGAGGATGTAGAGAAAGGGAACCCTCTTGCAATATTGGTAGGAATGCAAACTGGTGCAGCCACTGTAGAAAACCAGTATGGACTTTCCTCAAAAAGTTAAAAATGAAAATACCCTATGATCTAGTAATTACACTACTAATTACTCCCAAAAAACACAAAAACACTAATTCAAAGGAATTAGCAAGTTTTTTAATCTTTCTATGCCTTAGTACTTTCCATCTAAGTAATGATAATAAAAACAATATATTATATGTAATATAATATCTAATTAATATATAATTATGTTCACATGTTAATATAATATATTTTTTATATTAACTATATTTTATATAATAATATAATAATTATTGTCATAATATTTAATTCATAAGCTTCTTAGGATTAAATGAGTTTATATACATAAAGGACTTAGCGGTGCCTCTGGCATATAGCAAACAGTATGTTTACGTGTTACTACTACAACTATACTCACCACTGTCGTCAATCCTAGGGCACATTTTTTAACATCTATGAAATCAGGATGAGTCTTACATCCTGTGGCATCTTAGATTTGATGAATTACAGTAGTAATATGATAACCTTGCTTATTTTGTGCAGATTGAGTCAATGCAACTTCACAGACTAATCATTGCATGTACTAGCTAGTACAGTTGCCAAGTATCCTAGCTAATTACTCAATTTTGAAAAAAAAAAACCTGAATATAACACCTATATACAAAAGTGGATAACTTTAAATTTGAAAAGTTTTTAGTGCTACTAGCTGGTTTCATAGTGATATTTACACCAAAAGTTAGTTTTGAAATTTTAAAAATGATTTGAACATCTTAATTGACATAGTCCTTTTTTTTTAAAAACTGAGGTATATTTTTTATAATTGACATATAACAATATATTCGTTTCAGGCATGCAACATAATGATTTGACGTTTGCATATGTTGCGAGATGATCACCACAATAAGCCTACTTAACATCCATCACTACACATAGTTACAAATATTTTTTCTTGTGATGAGAATTTTTAATGTCTATTCTCTTAGCAACTTTCAAATATACAAAATAGTCTTATTAATTGTAGTCACCATGCAGTACATTACATTACCATGACTTACTTGTTTTATAAGTGGGAGTTTGTACCTTTTGACTACCTTCCTCCATTTTGCACACCAACCACCCCCACCTCTGGCAAGGATAAAATTGGTCTCTGTATCTTTGAGTTGGGGGGTGAGGTTTCTGTTGGTGGGGGGAGTGTTTAGATTCCACATATTAGTGAGATCATACAGTATTTATCTTTCTGTGTCTGGCTCATTTCACTTAGCATAATGCCTTCAAGATTCTCCCATGTTGTTGCAAATAGGCAGGATTTCCTTATTCTTTTTTTTTTTAAGATTTATTTATTTTGAGAGAGAGCAAGATTTCCTTCTTCTTTATGACTGAATAATATTCCATTCTGTGTATGCAGGAGAGAGAGAGAGGGACATAGGTGGCTTTCATGTCTTGGCTACTGTAAATAATGTTGCAATGGACATGGGGGTGCAGATATCTTTTCAAGTTAATATTTTTATTACCTTTGGGTATATTCCCAGAAGTGGAATTACTGGGTCATATGGTAGTTCTATCTTTCAGCTTTTCTCCATTGAGTATGGATATTAGCTGTGGGCTTAACACACATGGCCTTTATTATGTTAAAGAATGTTCCCTCTATACCCACTTTGTTGA